AAATGTAGGATTGAGAGGAAAAAATTCATTTTGTCCTTGCTTCTTTTTATAATTTCAAATGTATCCTCGATTTATTTTATATGTAATTTTTTATTTTGTTAAATACTTATATTTAAACTTTGTATTATTAAAAATAAATTATACAATTTTAAAGATCTCATTGAGACGATCAAAACAAGACTAATATTGAATATATATTAATTAAAATTTCAAATGCATTGATTGCGCATTATATTTGTATGTGGGAATGATATAGTAATTCTGATAATTAAATATACTAGATGTTTTATGCTATATTATTATTTTGGAATAAACTAAATTTTTAAAAATATTATAAAATTCGATTTTTTAAATAATTAATGTTATAAAAAATTAATGTTAATAAAAATTATTATTTACATCACAAGTTATATTTTATATTAAACTAATTAAGTTCGAACTAAATTATATTAAACTAATTAAATCTGAAATAATAATTGAGAACTCAAATTATTTTAGTGTAGAAATTTAGTGTTTTGGTGTAAATAAGTTGGAGATGAATAAATTTTCAAAAAAAAAAAAGTTGGAGATGAATAAAATTCGGTGTGAGAATATTCCTTCTAATGTGACGTTTGATAAAAAAATTAATATAAGAACAATAATTCAGCATCAAGTTGGCCCAGAAAAGCACAAACATATCACAATCATCCTCGTTACATCATGCGATAAAGCAAAAAACAGAACACAACCGTAAAAGGTAAGATGCAGCATGTGCAACCATTACCATGACAAGAATGAAAAATAGATCACTCATTCACAACACCCCCCCCCCCCCCCCCCCCCCAACAACAACAACCAACATATAGTAGTAGCGTAAATGGTAGAATTTTCTGGAAATCCTTCATTTCCCTTCACATGTTCCAACTGTACACAATCACATGCATGCATGAGTGAGAAACTGTGAGAATGTTCATGATTTTATCGTGACAAATTTGGTGGGTAAGTCGATAGAATATGATTCATGTATCAAAATTTTACGAGTTAAATTTTTGTTAATATATATTCTCACTGTTAGCTTAAATTTATATTTCAATTCAATCAGTTTTGATTCGCATGTGTGCCTATTTAGGATAAAGTGAATGGTTCACTTTAATTTGGAATGATGACCACCTCTAATTATCCACCCCAAATTGTTGTGTGAGTATATATTCTCAATATTAAAATTGAAATATTAAGTAATACAACCTCAACCCCCACCCCACCACCACCACCACACATATATATAAGGTCCGGTTCAAGTAAGAACCACTATTCGGCTGTGAACTGTACTTCAATGCACCGTTGAGTTGTGAGATTAACGACCGAAATCCTATGAGTAATGCATCCGGTATAGTTGTACAGTGGTGCACTAGTGCAGTGATTTGGTGCAGTGGTGTAGTGATGTATATTTACCATGTCAAAATCATTATAAACCACAAGATATATATATCGAGCAAGATCAATGGTGCACAATGGTATACAGGTTCACATGTTAACAAAGGTTCTCATTTGAATATATATATATATATATATATATATATATATATATATATATATAATATAATATAATATAAAGAGGTGTCCATTCATTCAGTGGTAAGTAGAGGCTGAGATTTAATTCTGCAGTTACCAAAAAAAAAAAAAGCATTTGAACTCAATACAACCTTAAACAGCCATAGGATTCTTCAATTCATACGCATGTTCAGTGTTGATCTGAAACCTTTCATGTGATCCCCCCCCCCCCCCCCACCCCCCACCCCACCCCCACCACACCTCACTTTTCCATTCTGCAATCCTTTCAAGCACCATTTCTCACCAGGCCAAAACCCTTCCTTTTATAAACCATTGCAATATATTTTTTTTTTTTTTACAACAAATAATTAAATAAAAGTAGCCATTTTTTCTTATAAAAATTATAAGAAAAAAATTGCTAATTGCTAATAATAATTTTAATAAAAAGCTGGTTTTAAAATATGATATAATATATACCATAATATATATATTAAAAATCAATTATTTATGAAGAAATTATTTAAATTGATGTACTTGCATGCAGGGTAGCATCTTCTAGTGGCCACACACTAATGTAGTGGTTGGCGATGCATTGTCGTTTTCTGGTCGTTTTTACTTTGGTATTCGAAACGATTCTGAGTGGCATTTTGGGAAGGTTAATTCTCAAATTTGGAAATCTTTTTTTTTTTAATTGATGGCATGCATGCAACTACTGCTTTTGCATTAGATTAGATTTCTCCATATCTACCTTCAATTTTTTATATTTTTTTAATATAATGTACAAGCAAGTTGATCCGAGCAGTGGAGTTAACATAATCGAATTGACCAAACAATTAATTTAATAATTACAAAATTCTAAACTCAATTCTTTATAAAAATTATTTATTGATCTTTTTAATTTCATCAAGTCAACTATATACAACATATATGACCAATTCTTGAACCTTCCCAATCTCTTATATTGACACTACTGGAAATTCTGAAATTTCCGACCACCTGAAAATGATCTTAAATCAAGTTGAAAGCTTGGTTTCCGACCACTTTTGGTATCCGGAAAAACCTTTGCTGCTATTTCCGACCACTTTTTGCTTTCAATTTGATTTAAGATCACTTTCAGGTGGTCGGAAATTCCATAATTTCCAGTAGTGTGAGAATCATGGGGTTGGTTTTCCGTTGTAAAAGGCATCACATCAGTACCCTCTCAGTATAGCCATGAGGTCCCCCTCCAATAGAATTATTTCTTTTTTTTCTATATATATATATATATTAAAAAAAAAAACAAAAAAAAACATCAGCCTTTAGTCCTTTACTATCTTCAAAGATATATCACTGTGTGAACAATCAAGTTGGTCAGATTGTTGAATTGGTAATCACAACATTCTGAGTTTCACTTATCGTGGTAATGGTTTATTGATTTTTTTGGTTTAAACCAATAAATTATGGATAACTTAGACTAGTTTACCCTATCAGCTAATTAGAGTGAGAAGTGAAAATTTACTCAGTGTACATAATTAGATAGTAACTGTCAATTTTTCCGTTACTCAAAGGTTACATCATTACCTAACATGTATCACAATTGGCCACAACCAAAGGTTACATCATTATCTAACACGTATCACAATTGGCCCGATCGAATAGCTAGCCTATGAACCTGGACCACGTCAACCTTGTTAGCATATTTATGAGATGTATTTATACTCTATAATCTTATAAATGTTGTACTCTACTAGCTTAGCTTGAAATGGATGTGACGAATCTTTTTCATTTGATTTTAAAGGAAAAGTATGTCCTTCCAAAAAAAAAAAAAAAAAAAAAGTATGTGTGTATGGGCCTATGGGGGCAGTGCGTTTACCAGTGGGCAGGTCAGCAACTTATTTCATATGGGCAGGGCGCGCGTACTGCTTACTCTCCACACCAGAAACTTCACGACTTACACTTGTTGTTCTGTGACCATGACACCTGCGTGTTATGCATGCGAAGCCTTGGCCGCGTGACACTCGTGATCGCTGTCATCTTACTGCTTTAAAAGAAATAAAAAATAAAAAATTCTGCCACGTGGATAGCTCCACAGGTTCTAGCGCCTTCGCAGCCACACGCCCCAGTGAAAGGCCCACAAATTATTCTCACAAAAACTCGCCACGCGTCGGGCCCGTCCATATATCCAATAAGCCCATCAGTTTCATTGGTTCAGCCCAATCGTAGTCACCAGTGCTTTTATATTATATACTTCCATCACATTATTAAGATAAATAATTGATAAAAATTTATAAATTTTTAATATGTTAAAATTTTATTTTTAAATAATACACTAAAATGAATCTATAGTACATTAGAAATTAACTCAACAAAAAAAGCATATAGTACACTACAAATAAGTATTCAATATACTAAAAAAAATCCATCAAACAATTTTAAAAAAAATATATTTTCTAAAAATATTAGTCTAAGTTAAATTGTTTTGTTTATTAAAAAAAGGAAAAAAGAAAATGTTGATGTAGAAAACTAATAATTCATCTAAGCCATCAATTCAAGAAGACTAACAACTCCAAAACAAAGAGTAAAAATAGGGTAATAATTTGATAATTATTGCAAATTTTGAGTGTATTAAGTAATATTACAAAATTTACTCAATAATACGTTAAAGTGTAACAATCTTAATGCAGTTTTTGTATTTTTACATGGTACACTTTTAAAGTATATAGTTTGAGTGTACTTATACGTATAAACATATATACTTTGTAGTGTTGGACAATGCATTAAACCGCAATTTAATATTTTTTTATTAGAGCTCATAGAAAATGTAAAAATATTTATTTATTGATTAAATTTGACAAGACTGAGTAATATTGTTCTCTTTTTTTAGATATGTCGATATACAAATGAACTACTTTTGTTTTTGTCAAATATATGTGGTGTTTGGTAAATAGCTGTTAGCTGATTGAGTTAACAAATTTAACTAGTTGGTAACATTAGCTTATTGCATAAAAATGTTTAGTAAATTAGCGGTTAGATAGTTGATTACATGTAAAATGATTTTACAGATTTTTTAATTTTAACATTTTGAAGCAATAACCATATTAAATAAGTTAATTAATAAAACACTCATATTAATTGTTTAATCAAATCAAACAGCTAATAATTTCAAACTAACTATGTTATTAAACATGGCACCTTAAGAATATTAAAATATTCCCATAAACTTCTGATGAAAGACCTTCCATATCTCATCAACCTCTCATGAGTGCATCAATTTCCAAATAGTAATAGGTGAATCCATAGGATTTAGGTCTTAGGAGCCATGAATGCGAAACCTAGACGAGCAAAGCAACCATGTCTTCAAAAGAAATTTGCATGGCTAAGATTCGATTTCCTAAACAATGTGGACCACGACCACTTGCATCAAGCCAAGTGTTATTTCTCCCCCAAAATGGAGTCTATATATACGGATGAATCGCAGAACCAAATGGCTCACTAGTAGCAGAGCGAGTGACACCTGTTGTGTTCTCCTTTCGTGTTGGGTCTCGTCCTCATCTTTTCTTTTGAGAGGAGAATCGGTCACTCTTTTCAGAAATCTTTTCCCCCTTTTTTCCCCCATTGATTCCCCGAAAATGTTCATCGAGAGCTTTAAGGTTGAGAGCCCCAATGTCCAGTACGCTGACGGGGAGATTCACTCCGTCTACAGCTATGAAACCACTGAGCTTGTTCATGAGAACAGGAATGGCGCTTACCAGTGGGTTGTCAAGCCCAAGACTGTCAAATATGAATTCAAAACTGATACCCATGTCCCCAAACTTGGGTTTGTTCCCTTTTTTACCCGATTTAACCTTAAATCATGCGAAAGATTCCAACTTTAAGAAAAAAATTACAATTTTTTTTCTTGATTTGTTGTGTTGATGGTTTGATGGTAGGGTTATGCTGGTCGGTTGGGGAGGAAACAATGGGGCGACCCTGACTGGTGGTGTCATTGCTAACCGAGAGTGAGTTTTTCTTTGATTTTTGTGGTGTGAAACTATGTTTTCTTGATTTCTTTTTTTGGGTGGAATTTAAGGTTGTGGGTGATGAAATTTGCAGGGGGATTTCGTGGGCTACCAAGGATAAGGTGCAGCAAGCCAATTACTTTGGTTCCCTCACCCAAGCTTCTTCAATCAGAGTTGGGTCTTTCAATGGAGAAGAGATCTATGCCCCTTTCAAGAGCCTTCTCCCCATGGTATATTATATTATATATATAATACATCATATATGCCTTCTTTTTTTCTTCTTCTATTTTTGGTGTCTAGCCACTTGCATGGAGTAAATCTCACTTTGTGAGATCTAAATCAGCTTAGATTGTGACCACTCAAATAAAAAAGGCTCTATTAGGAGTGGAGTGAGGAATAATTTGACCAAGATTAAGGTTGCCTGTTTTTTTTTTTTTTTTTGGGTTTAATCTTAGGATGTTTATATTTATGAATTGGGTTGTGAAAACAGGTGAACCCAGATGATGTTGTGTTTGGGGGATGGGACATTAGCAGCATGAACCTTGCAGACGCCATGGCAAGAGCCAAGGTTTTTGATATTGATCTTCAAAAGCAGCTGAGGCCCTACATGGAGTCCATGGTCCCTCTCCCTGGAATCTTTGATCCAGATTTCATTGCTGCCAACCAAGGCTCACGTGCCAACAACGTGATCAAAGGAACCAAGAAACAACAAGTTGAACAGGTCATCAAGGACATCAAGTAAGCCACCATTAATTTGTCACTAATAATCACTTTTACTTTTATCTCAATCAGTGTCTACTGCTGTTGTGATGTAAAGTTAAAGTTAAAAGTTAAGAATGTTTGTATGGTGATATGGTAGGGAGTTTAAGGAGAAGAGCAAGGTAGACAAGGTTGTTGTCCTGTGGACTGCCAACACAGAGAGATACAGTAATGTGGTTGTTGGGCTTAATGATACTGTGGAAAACCTCTTGGCTGCTTTGGACAGAAATGAGGCTGAGATCTCTCCCTCTACCCTCTATGCCATAGCCTGTGTTATGGAGAATGTTCCTTTCATCAATGGCAGCCCACAGAACACTTTTGTCCCAGGGCTCATTGATTTGGCCATCAGGAGGAACAGTTTGATTGGTGGAGATGACTTCAAGAGTGGTCAGACCAAGATGAAATCAGTCCTGGTTGATTTCCTAGTTGGAGCTGGTATCAAGGTACACAAAAACCCTTCGATTTCGATTTGGGGCAACCCCTCTCAAGATGGTCAGGCTCTTGGCTCGGTGACCACAAAGAGGTTCCAAATTCGCTTATTGACCTTCTTGGTTTGAGTGGGTCAATTATGGGCAACCTAAGTTGATTTACCTCTTTGTGGTCTTTTGCTGACTGAGATTACAAAAACACTTCAATTTGGATGCAATAGATAAGAGATTCTAGTAAAAATGTAATCTTGAATTGGTATATGACTTTTTCATGATGTTTTGCAACAGCCAACATCCATTGTCAGCTACAACCATTTGGGCAACAATGATGGCATGAACCTATCTGCCCCTCAAACTTTCCGCTCCAAGGAGATCTCGAAAAGCAATGTTGTTGATGACATGGTGGCTAGCAATGGCATCCTCTATGAACCCGGTGAACATCCTGACCATGTTGTCGTGATCAAGGTAAAATCTTGACAGCTTGCCAATGTTGAATATCATCATATTATGTGATTAAGAGTTTCGGTTGGTTTTATGTTTGATTATAGTACGTGCCATACGTGGGAGACAGCAAGCGTGCAATGGATGAGTACACATCCGAGATTTTCATGGGCGGCAAGAGCACCATAGTTCTTCACAACACTTGTGAGGATTCACTCCTCGCAGCTCCCATCATCTTGGATTTGGTCCTCCTCGCTGAGCTCAGCACCCGCATCCAGCTCAAATCCGAGGAAGAGGTAATAATGTCCGATCCCCTTGCAGTAATTCTGCAGATTTACTGAACCAATTAACACGGGGCGAATATATTTTGCAGGCAAAGTTCCACTCTTTCCACCCCGTGGCTACGATTCTCAGTTACCTCACCAAAGCTCCTTTGGTAAGCCCAACACTCTTCTTGTTTGTCCTTAAGTGTTTCACACTTTCATAGTTAGATGCAAAACAACAAAAGGAATCGTTGGATAGAACTCATAGGAGAACATGTGATTCTGCACATGCAATTGGACAAGAACATGTGACTAAGACAAAAGTAGTATGCAACTACCCACAAAAACATTAAAGGGACTTTGGTCATGAGATTCATAAGACAACAATGAAACATCAATACATAAACAAAAACAAAAACATAAAGATTAGATCTTTTCATCTTCCTGAATAAAAAGATGCGTTCTGTCTCAACTAAAAGTTCAAACACGTTGCGAAAACAGGTACCACCAGGCACGCCAGTGGTGAATGCGCTGTCGAAGCAGCGTGCAATGCTGGAGAACATAATGAGGGCTTGTGTCGGGCTGGCGCCAGAGAACAACATGATCTTAGAGTACAAGTGAAAGTCTCTGAAAGTTGTGAAGTGTAGATAGGGAAGAATGAGAGTTTACTTCCCTTTGTTTTTAGTTTTGTCTACTCTTTTTCTTAGTAGAACAACCTTGTCATGTGTGTTCATGCTTTTAAGTGTACTATTCTGGGAGTCCAAGGCAGAGGTTTTCTGTCTTTAATCATATTCAGGCTCTCTGTTAGTTTGTGTAAACAATTGTTGCTTTAGCTCATTTTGAGAGCAGGCAACCCTTTTAATATTGGAAAATAGTACGGAGTAAATATATTTTTAAATAATTCTATGGCCAGTTGCTACTTTTACCTTTTTCTTTTTAAAATTTCTTGTATAAATATTTTTTGAGTTAATATCTGATTTGGTTGATCTTTATCACTTTGGTTCTCAACTTTCAAATTTGTTCAATTTCATTCTCAACTATATAAAATGTTAACCAAAATAGTTTTAATCATAACTATTTTGGTTTGGACAAACAAGTATATTGGATAAAAATTGCACAATTGATGATAAAATTGAATAAGTTTAAAAATTGGCGATAAAATTTTAATAATTGAGGAACTAAATCAGGTATTAACTCATATTTTTGCAGTGATGTTGGATATCAAATAAATTTTGATTAATTTAAAGTGGAATTTCGTCTATGTAATAAGGTTAGGGACAATCACTATATTTATGGACCAATTAAAATGAATCTACATCTTAAAAATAACATGTATCAATGGTTCATCTTACAATTTAGATTATAGTTTATGATATAATTTTTTTTATTTTTAATGACGTAGGGTATTTGAAATCACTATTCGAAGGTATGCATTGAATAAACTTACTCACAAACTACACACAAAAAAAATTAAATCACAATATGAAAATCTTGTACGAAACTCAATTAAAATAGTATTATCAACGATTAAACTCATAACCATCAGTTACAAGACTCGTGTTTTGTCCACTCATCTATTGCATACTTGACCCCTTTAGAGGATTGTGTTGAAAAAAGAATGGGCTCAAATAGAAGAATGAATAAAGTAGCTCAGTAATGTAAGGCCCATCAGAATGGGTTCAAAATCCGAAATGAACTCCAACAAAAAAAATAAAATAAAAAATTATTAAACAACACACAATTGGACAAGTTGAGCATAACTTTCTTATATTTTAGTATTAGATTAAGTAACAACTATCGGCCAAGAACCTTCAAAGTTACTCTATCATATGAGAGGTTCAATAGAGATATTATATTGTAACAGAGTCAGTAATACTTAAAAATAAAAAAAGAGTAACAACTATCTTAATTGAAAGTGTTACTGAATTTTAATAATATTTCGTAATTAAAATCTTGTACTTACCTATACTTGATAAAAATTCCTTTTGGAACTGAGAAAAGTTTAGAGTAAAAACTATTTAGAGTAAGGTTGTCTGATCTATTTGTATGGTGTCAGTCTAACAAAAAGGGTTACCTAGAAAAAAGTTATTTGGTACTTGATAAGGTTCGAAGTGAAGTACGTCATCTATAGCAAAAAAGGTTATTTGGTGCTGAGAAGAGTCTCGTGTGTGACCATCTAGAATGGTCCATCACGAACGTCAGCTTCTTTGTTATAATAATAATAATAATAATAATAATAATAATAATAATAATATTATTATTATTATTATTATTATTATTATTATTATTATTATTATTATTATTATTATTATTATAAATAAACCAAGTGGTTGTTAATTTTTAGTAGTAGGATAATGAGTGGCTTTAATGGTTATTCTAGGGGATGATTGAAGAAATTTCTAAAATATCATCCGACTATGATATTTTTTCAAATTGGTCTTATGATTTTTAATTGAAACTAAACTGATCCTCCAACTATTAAATTTTAAGCAAAACCGATCATCTGCTAGTTAGAAATATAGTTCATAATTGATTGATTGTAAGTATATATATTTAATGATCTATAGTCATACCTACCAGAATTTTATATGTTTGGATTTGTCTTCAAACATGAATTGGACACATTACATGAACCTTTTTTTTTTTAGAAAGAACCAAACATCAGGAAGACACCTTGAAAGCAACAGACAGCCAAACATGGCTGTTCTTTCAAACTATACATATATTAAACTACCCAATTATCCTAGTTCACTGATGTCATATGCTTCTTCATACATTAAATAATAATAATAATAATAATAATAATAATAATAATAATAATAATAATAATAATAATAGCCTAAAAAGAGTGACAAAGTGAGTGAAACCTAACTCTCGTAACAAAAAGTCACAAGTTCAAATTTTGTCAACATTATCTTGATCAAGTCTATTCAACGGGGTCGATCTGGATCTTTTATTATTATTATTATTATTATTATTATTATTATTATTATTATTATTATTATTGTACCACAAAATTCATTAACCATTGGTTTCTTTTCCAGGCCAGAAACATGTGCACTCAGTATTCCAGGGTACATTTCACTGGGATTTATAAAACATTTCAATTCGATATGATCTTGATGAAATTTAAGGATTATATTGTATGATGATTCGGCACAGCTAATGATTAAGACTGACTCTAATATTAACCAAAAGGGTAGAGGCATGTTTACTAAATTAATCATACCATGAATCTCGAAGAGATTCATTGTACGGAGTATAATTACTTATACCAAAGAACTTTACAAGTTAATTGCATAAATTGTATCAACAATTTATTTTCTTTGATTGATAGAAAAGGACGCAAACGCTAAATTGCTTATAGTTAATCAACTCAAACAAAAAAAATCAGTAAGCAAAAATCAAACTTGGTCGAACTTGGAGGTTGCTCTCAACAATTCAATATAACGGTCTTAATTGAGATGATCTTGACAAAATTATACTCCACCAAGTCAACAACCTCGTTCGGGGCTATAGCATATATATGGTCAATTTTATGTCTATATAATTTTTACATTTGATTTCTTTGGAAAAAGAGAAGCAAATAAAAGAGAGATCTGAGTACATTGTCTTTCGTATGTCTTTGAATTGGAAGCAAGCATAGCCCAAATATATACATATTCGTTACAACCATTATGTGCATGGTAGCATTAGCATAAACACACACAAATATATATATATATATATATATATATATATATATATATATATATATATATATATATATATATATATATATATCTTTAAACCTCTACGCACACACAACCGTTGTTCAAGCGACAGCCGCAGTCTAGTTCTTACCGAGGTGGTCGGATATTCCACCATTGTTTTCAATTTGCAAATTAGTACTTCTCTCTTTTCTCTCGTCTTGCTTCATTTTTTGCTCCCTACATTCTTGACTACAAAATGCGGTGTCACCCCTGCACCCACGCACATACAATAACATAACAATCAAATATTTGAGATAATAATTTTTTTTTTATCATTATATACTTTTACTAAAGATTCAGTACTCATATAAGAGAGTCATTATTGGAGGGTGTCTTATGGGTATACTCGTCAATGCGGAGGTAAATTGCACTAAAAAAAAATATTATATGACAGGCTTAATTGAGAGAGTGTACGTTAACAAAAATTGAACTTGTGTGCTTTTTAATTTGTTTAATTATTAGGGATTTAGGGAAGGGAGAAAGAGGAAAGATGTACCTATACATGAAGATGTCACGACAAGGTGCCAAGCGCCGGTTGCAAAGGCTACAAGTTGTCAAGAAACTAGGCGTCTCAATATGGTAACCATCGCCGGAAGTCATCGTCGTCGTCCTACCGCCGTAATATCTCGGCGAGACCATGGCCGCCATGGAGCGGTGGTCGTAGCCGTTGGGCACCGCCGTGGCTTGCCCTTCGACCGCCGGAGGCTGGCCATCTTCCATGCCGCTCCCCACATCGACGGTGATCCCCGTCATGCTCGTCGTCCTCCGGAAAGGTGGCCGACTTTGCTTTCCCAACATCATATATAATTATTATTATTGTGTTTTTAAGGTTACAAAAATGGAGTGTTGTGTTAATCAGATTCTTCGCCCTTTATATTTGCGCCACCTTGGACTTTAAGGCTTTGTTTGGTACATCCAGAAAGGGATAGGGAATCAAAATAGAATGAAATACACATATTACAAAACAATAATGCTTGGTAGGTCTAAATAATAATATTTTTTTAAAATAATACTTTTATTATTTGTGCTTTAATTTAATTAAAAAATTAGAGGTTTAATAATGATGATATAATATACCCGAATCAATTATTTTAATTCGGTCTCAAGACTTCACAATTTAATTTTGAAACCTCGTTTAAACAGGTTGGGTCAGTTCACAAGTAACAATCTACTTGAGAGGTACTTTTGACCTTAACTTTAAGGCCCGACTTGACAAGCGTGTATATATAATTAAAAATATTGTTAAAATGTCAAAAACATGTCATTGACTCATTGATGATCATAATAGTCACACTTCAATAATAAGGAGAATAGTAATATTACTTGGGAACTAATCTCCGAAAAAATAATTTAATTGTCACACGACAAAAGTCTTTACAAGAATTTTTTTATTTTTTCTTTTAACAAGTGAATTATATATCATCATATGATGCTTCACTTTTTTTTTTTTTTTAACAAGTGAATTAATATTGTAGAAGTTCTAATAATAATAATAAAGAGTTCAAAATAAAAACAGATGATGTCATAATTTTTTACACAACTGTGTCAATTATTGGGAAACATGCAGGGCCATTAAACCAAAGCTCTTTTCAATATAATATTACAAATAGAGAGAAAATTATTAAAATAAAAAGACTGACAAATAGTAATACTTAATGATTGATTAGGCCTTATGTATATTATATATTAAACTTGTGTATTTAATGATCTAACCTGAAAATTGCTTATTGGTCTTTTCGAATTGAATTGATCATTTATAAATAATTATCTAAGTTAGTTTACTTATACTTCTTTGTTGGATAGAGGCATAAAATTACAAGCTAAGAGTATGCTTCACCCCATGTACACGTTGAATATCATTATTTATCGTATTAATATGAATATAACGTACATAATGAACATTTTACCACTAGCTCATTGTGGTCAACTTTGACCAATTAAATGAACATACCCTCATTATTTAAGTAGTAATTAACTTAATATTTCGGTTCACTATTATATTTTGGAACTAATTATATATATTGTTGACTTGAAAACAATTAATCAAGCAAGATTCTTGTCAACTACAAAGATTGTCATTGTACGTTGCAAATCTCTTGGAAGATTGTTTAAGATAACATTGTTGACTATATATGATAAGCTAAGGTTTATGATTGATAATATTGTTTATGATTGTTACAAAATCAAGCAAGAATCCTTTTCATTAAAGTAACGTACGTAGTTTAATACATAATTTTCATACTGTTTTTAATGCTATGTGCTTTGTATACAAGAGATAATAACTAAAATGATCCATCGAAAGTAAACTACACTAGAAATATTAGATCTTGTGTGAGAAGTTCGATCAAGAAAATGTTGATAAAAATAATCAAACTTGTGACATTTCAGATAGAAGAATGATTCTCTATCTACTCGACCATAATTTTACTTAGCTTGATAGCATGACGTGTTATATGTCACAATTATTTTATATTTACTATCAGTCATGATAATAGATTAACCCACCACGATTTAATTATGTAAAATATGTTAGATGATAAAAGATTTAGTAAACATATCTTGCTTAATGTTTTTTTAATGTAATAATATACCCATATATAATATAAAATATAAATACATGGTAGATTGATAGTTGTGTGACATTTCAAACCATTTGATCAATAATTTGAGTTTTATATGGATACGTCTCATATGAAGTATACTAATTATTTATATTTTATTCTCCTTTATTTAATTAGTATAGTATTAGTATTAATGATATTATAGTTTTTTGCTATTAATTTTATAGCTATTTAAAAATTATCGAATTTTCGTGTAGTACCTATTAACATAAATGTCGATTAATACCCGATGTAATTATAACATAATTTACGTGTAATGTTCATCGTTATAATAAGTGACAAAGTGTATATGCTACAATCATATTAATATATCTAATTATACCAAATACTATTCACACAAGTGTCAATAATATAGCGAGCTAAAACATCTATATATATATGTGTGTGTATGATTATTTCAGTACAGTTCCACATCATTAAAATTCTCAACTTATAGGAATTGGAAACGATGCATATCTAATAATTGATGTTCCCTACCAACTTAGCCCATAAGCATGATATTTTGGACTTATTAACAGCTATATTGATTACTTTTCAAACATAGATCATTACAAAATTATTATTGTGCTAGCTAATATAAAGCTTATATAGCAATATATATGCCTCCTTCTATAACGGAAACAAGTTGAGTATTTTAGTTACATCAATTATGTTTTTAAAAAAATGTATAAAAAAAATAACTTGCGGCAAAAATATATTCCTATTTTGTTCTAGGTTCTTTTTGGGGGGAGGAACTCTTTATCGTTACACTTCTTTTAGGATCATGCTACATGGATAATAAATTTTCACTGTCTAACGTGACAACATAAAGAAAAATAGTTTAATTTATCACGCCAAATGGAAGAAAATTTGATAAAAAATTTTGGTAACGATAACATTAATCCTTTTTTAATTATTGAAATTCAATTAATAAATATTGACTGAAGTTATTTATAATGTTAAATTTGAAGTTAATATATATTTAAAAATTACATTAAAAATATTATTAAATATAAAAATATAAGCAAAGAATACATGTAAAATGGGACATATGAATTAAAAGAAAACAAGATAAACTACCTAAAATGCAATAATGTCAACCCAATACTATTAGCTATGAGAATAGGTTGAGTTAATACTATCTGGGTCCTCCAAGTATAGTAATTTTGCTACGGTTAGTCTTAAATTTTTAAATTGATTAATCATATTCCTTTCGTTTTCAAATTATTACCATTCATGATCCAAGTTAACCCCCCATGGTCCTTCAACTATCAAATTTTAACCACTCATAATCATTCCAAGAAGACTATGACTGGTTAATTTTTGAAAGTCGAAGGACCATAGGTGGATAATTTGGACCACAGACGGTAACAATTTGAAAGTCAAAAGACCACGAGTGATCAATATAAAAGTTTAGAATTAAAAATAACAAAATCACTATAGTCAAACGACATCATATGACATTAACTTAGAATAGGTTCCATGTCATTGATAAAGCTAACAAAACGGGCCAATAACGTGGGCCAAGAAAACCTCAACCCAGCCCAACCTGCATTGTGTCGATGGTTGAATGGGCCAAACCCACCAATAATTTAAAAATAAATAAATAAAATAAGTCTAGAATTACATAGTTCTTAATTAATAAGACCATATTTCATCCATGACCTCATTTAGCTAAAAATAAAACAAAAATTAATAATATCTAAATGACATATTGACGGTAACCCGTTTTGACAGCTCTAGCCAATAGGGTGGGCAATTCAGAATCCGTAATTACAAAATAAAAAATAAATATAGTATGTTAATGTTTACAAAAGATCAACCATTTTGGACTTTTTTTCCTTTAAAAAAAAAACAGTTTGGACTTTTCAGATGTTAATTGGGCCTCAATATTTTGAAGGCCCAAATACTATTTCAGAACTTGAGCCGAAATGATCATTGCCGCCCGGCCCATCCCACACTGTCTCCATAAATGACTCCACCGACGCCTCTCACCGGCTCCACTCTCCGCCACTCACTGCTTTTCCTCTCCGGCAGAACTGAACCAGAAAGGAGGAGCAAAAACCCAGCTTGAAGATGGAAAGATTGACAGCGTTCTTTGCTCTCTGCTTCCTCTCAGCTACTATCGTCGGCGCTCACTCCTCCGGCAACCCTTTTCTCGTGAAGGGCAAAGCCTACTGTGATACCTGCAACTGCGGCTTTGAAACTACCGCCACCAAGTACCTCGCCGGTAACCCCTTCATCTCCCTTTCTCATTCCTTTGCTTCATTGCACATTATCATTCCGTGAGTTAAAAGTTGTTCTGATCTTGTGGGATTCCGTTTCTGTTTCCTTATCTGCTGCAAAAGAATTTGAATTTTAGATGGATCTTCTGAATTAGTTAGTTATTGTCCGTAAAAAGCGAAATTCCCTTATCCAGGCCTCACACCCACCCACCCTACTAGATAGTAAAAGGGTAGGGTAAATTACGTTGGCTTAGTAGTGCCCGTGCCCCACTGCATGGGGATAACTTCCACAATGGGAATTCTGAATCTTGTGATTAAAAGTCTAAGTTTATAGTTAGATTGCACATTAATGATTATATACACAATAATAGTGACTTAGACATATTTGGTGGAAGGACCGTGGCATAGAGTCCAACCACATTGAGTAACTTATGCTCACTTGCTAAGGCTGGATCTTATGTCTTCATCGTAATTTATTACCTAAGAACTAACTGAGCTGCATTGGATTTGGTGTAAAATTGTAAAATGTGCAAAGAATGCTAAGCTAGAGAATGGAATGAATGTATATTCTTGGCAGGGGTGACGGTTCAGATTCAGTGCAAGGACAGAAAGACCAATGCTCTCACCTACACCATCGACGGCGTGACAAACTCCGATGGAGAATACAACATTCTGGTGAACGGCGACCGTGGAGATAACCTCTGCGATGTGGTTCTGATGAAGAGCCCAGACCGCCGTTGCAGTGTGCCAAACAAAGGCCGTGACAGGGCCCGTGTCATCCTCACCCGTAACAACGGTATGGTCAGCGACATTCGCTACGCCAACAACATGGGCTTCACCACCACGGAGCCTCTGGCTAGTTGCCCCCAAATCCTCGCTCAGTATCACTTGAACGACGACAATTTTTAAGGAGGGAATTGAATTGGTTCGCTAACTTTGTTGTGATCCTAGTACTCTGCAGCTTGCTTTGTTTTATTTTGTTTGAGTGAGGCTTAAAAGCATCCTTATATCTATGTTATTAGTTGTGGATGTTGGTATCATTTCCCTATTTGTGAAACTCAATTTAATAGTTCGTTAAATTGATGTTAGTTTAAACTTTATTTTAATCCTGTTTGGTAACATAATTAGTTTATCAGTCAATTTTAGTGAAGCAGTTTTAAGATCAGTTTTTTAAGAAACTCATTCACTAACCATAGTGACGCTTTTGAAAACAGGTACGTGGAAGAGAGTAATTTTTTAATAGTATAACTTTATTCTATTATAAGTTGTTGGGATGAATGAGGTTATCAATAATGTTATTTTAGGGAGTGATTTTAATGTTGAAAAATGAAGTTTGAAATTAAAAAGGGTAATTAATTATGAGTGTAGGTACAAATTTGTTTAAAGCTTTATCAATTTGTATTCAAGAGTTAAATGCCACCATACAACTAAAACAACTTTTGACTAAAAAGAAGTGGAGTGATTAGAAAATCAACCCCTCGCGGTTAAGCATATTATACTGGATTTTTTAAATAAGTGCATAATTTATCATCATCCCAAAAAATAAAAGTTGTAATAATTAAATGCTAATTACCATTTTAATACATAATATAATGCACCTAATCTCCTAAAGATTTGGCGGCAAAATCTCGCGTCGCTAAACAGAACAAGAAAATTAGACCGAGTTCAAGGTTTAGAAAAACAAAAACCAAAAAAAAAAAAAAAAAAAAGAAGGAAAAAAAAAAAGTCAAACACAAAACACAACAAACAGAAACCTATGCACAAACAAAAATTCATAAAAAATTGACTTTCTTTTCATGGCCAGCTTTACTTTCCATTGGTGGATTTGATATATTTATTTACCATTCTTCTTTTTTGGTTTCGATTTTGGTAATTAAATTTAGGTTATTAATGCACGTATACTTGAACGCTGTCGCCGGCGATGCCTCCAACCTAAGGTAGGTAGATCAGGTCAGAAATCCGCCGCATGACTAAGGCCGCAGCCACCACCTCCGCCGCCGCCGGCTCCACCGCCACTCCCGACAAGGGTGACAAAAAGGAGGAGGTATTATATATGTTAGCCCTTTTCACTATTCTTAATTATATTTTCCTTTTTTATATGATGAATGGCTCTAAAATCCATTTTTTTAAAAAAAAATAATAAAATTTTTGGAAGCAGATATGGAACCCATCCATGGCGTAAATAACCAAAAAGCTTTTCATGAAAACGCCACCCTTCGCAAAAGTTTTTCAGGTACGTAGAGATCATGCAAGTCAAATCATATAATATATATATTCAATCTTTTTTTTTTTTTAATTCAATCCAATATATTAATTAACTCTCAGAAATAAGTAATAGTGCGACGATTGAAGGAGAGTGTAACGTTGATGATCAGCCAATGGCATCACGGCAACCACCGACCAAAACTACAAATTTGAGGTTTGAAGAAGACATGGAAACATGTTTTGTCGTCTTCCATTCCATTCCATTATATTCCCATGGGAAAGATATATGTTCAGTTATTGGTTTTTTTTTTTTTTTTTTTTTTTTTTTTTTTTTTTCTATGAAATTTTGATTAACAATCCAGTCAATGTGAAATGGGGATTGTAGGGTTTTCGTTGCAACATGGAATGTTGGAGGAAAACCTCCCACTAATGGACTCAACCTAGAGGATTTCTTGCAAGTGGAAGGCTCTTCGGACATTTATATCCTTGGGTATGTAATTAATTCAACTTTCATTCCATCCTATCTTGGACTATCCCTACATTGTAATCAGTCAAAAGTTTGAACTTGAAGAGTAATCATAACTAAGTTGGTTAGATTTTTTGACTCGGTAATCATAATATGATGTTTCATGTTTAATTCTATTCCTACTAGGAGCAGCCTTCTTGTGGTCTTTTGTCTATTAGAGGGCTTGTTAGTTGGCCTTTGAGCTTGTCAGCTATAGACAATCTACATTTAATATAGTCATTTATCTATGAGAATCACAAAGCAAATTTACCCTATGCACGTTGTTGGTTTTACGGTTTAGGGATAGTTGAATGGCGAGCCAACACAACCCTAAAATACTAAGTAAATAAGAGAGAATATTCTAGAGAAAAATAAAGCAAGAGTAACGATGTGTGCATTGAGATTGGAACCCTTTACCCTTGAAGAAGCAAGAAAGAAGAAATTACCTAATTTTTTTTGAACTTAGGAAAATTTTCAAAATTGTCATATCTAATTCCTAATAAAGAAAAGGAAATTTCCCTACTATCAATGGAAAGAATATCTGCATAATCTCCGTTCACCGCTTCTAGGGTCGATACTCAGTTAGGGACACTCGACTGGTCACTCTATCGAGCCTTTTGGCAGGCTGGACAGAATGCTTCTAAGTATTTGAACCACACTCGCCTCACCACCTAGGAGGACACTTAACTGAGTACCCTACTAGGAGTATCCATCACCCGCACACCCCAAATAGTGAATACTGATTTTATTGTCAAAATAGTGATTACTCTTTATCATCCAAAAAAAAAAAAAAGTTTGAACTCAATATCTTAGAAGATATGATTTCAGGTTTCAGGAAATAGTTCCATTGAATGCTGGAAATGTGCTGGTGATTGAAGACAATGAACCAGCAGCGAGATGGTTAGGGTTCATAAGCCAAGCACTCAACAAATCATACCACGAATCAATGGACTCCGATCCCACCGCCTGCTCCAAGCCCACAACCAATTTCTTCCACAAGCCATCGCTCAAACTCCTCAGCCGCAATCTCCGAGCCAACAACGCTCTCTTGAAGGCCTGCAACTGCCACCTCGATTCGCCACGCCGCCTGCGCAAACTCGCCGCCGACTCCCACCCCCCTGCCTGCCTCCCAGTCCGCGCCGCCACCACCGCAGCCGACGTCGAAGAAGACGACGGATTCTCGCCGGCGGTAGAGATCCCCGGATCAGTTGGTTTGGACTACAACCTCATTGCAAGCAAGCAGATGGTTGGGCTCTTCCTCTCAATCTGGGCACGCAGAGAATTGGTTCCGCATATTGCCCATCTCAGAATCTCCTATGTCGGAACAGGAATCATGGGATGTCTGGGCAACAAGGTTCTTAGCTTGTCCAACCATGTTTCGACAATATCTATGTACGCCCGCCTGACTCTTATCCATTAATAATGTTTTGTCTCTTGCAGGGCTGCATATCAATAAGCATAACAGTGCACAGAACACACTTCTGCTTCGTGTGCTGCCATCTAGCTTCCGGGGAGAAAGAAGGAGATGAGTTGAGAAGAAATTCCGATGTTACAGAGATTCTAAAGAGCATCCACTTTCCCAGGATCTGCAAGAACCCAGATCGCGCTTTCCCAGAAAGAATACTTGATCATGAGTAAGGTTTAATGCTCCTAGTACATATACACATTCAAATCCAACATTTTGTTCATATTCTATGCTAACCTACCCGAAAGTATGCATTGAGTTAAGCATGTATTATAAATTTAGCTGACCACAAAGAATTAAACCAGTTTAGATTGTCCATGTATGATCTGCTTAAATTTACAAGCCCGACTTCACCTTCGCCCCATCCGATTAAATCGAGAAGGCCAATAGGCAGTTTCCATGAGAAGTTAAACTTAAAACCTTGTTGATACCAAGCCAACAATCCAACTAACGAAATTGCTTGTAGCCGCATAATATGGTTGGGGGACTTGAACTACCGGGTGTCGCTTAGCTACGAGGAGACAAAGAAGCTGCTAGAGAACAACGAGTGTGACTCTCTGTTGGAAAAGGATCAGGTTAATTAGTTACTTGTTTCTCCATCTATCCTATGTCGTTTTTGTGTTCCTTAATTTGAACAAATTAAAACATGTTTTGATCTGTTAACACGTACAGCTGAACATGGAGAGAAGAGCAGGAAGAGTATTCAGCGGATGGAAAGAAGGAAAGATAATGTTTGCTCCCACCTACAAATACACTCTCAATTCAGACTCTTATGCAGGAGATACTGTCAAGAACAAGAAAAAACGCCGAACCCCCGCCTGGTCAGTCATTTATGATCGAGTAATATTACATGTACTTTCATTTCATTTTTGAAGCTCGTTATATTGTCACATGAATCAATCGAGACGACAATGAATTGCAGGTGTGACAGAATACTATGGCGTGGGAATGGCATTGAACAAGTATCATACGTAAGAGGGGAATCAAGATTTTCTGATCATAGACCTGTTTGTGCTGTGTTTACTATTTCTGTGGAAATGTTTGCTAAATCTTCAAGATATCGTAAGGGCTTTTCATGCACTGGTAGCGCTCTGGATTATCAAGAAACACCTACCAAGAGACAAAGCAGCTGCTTCTATGAGTTTTAATCTATATTCTTTAATTTGTATAACATATATAGTAAAAATTCTTTGATTAATTAGCTCCTTAATATAATCCCCAGTTTAATTTGTACAATAACCATCTTACAACACAGTAAAAATAGAATATAATAAGCCCGCACAGATAGCTCAGTCCCTAACAGTCATAATATGGACTTTCACTTTCTTATGATTTATTATGACAGTAAATTACGTACAGATACATATAACATCATGTTCCTAGTAATGAAATTAAAATTTTTAGTCTCGATCGATATCATCGTATGCTAAATCCCAGACAGAAGTTGAACCAGAAGTGGAAGCTTCATCACTTGGCATGGGCGGATCATACCTAAACTGTTGTTCTGTCATATTGTCGGTCAAGAAGTTCCCAGCGCCGCCATTGACGAACTGGCCGTTGTATTCATGGAAGATTCTCTGAATATCCTCGTTGATCCAGTCTGGGAATTGGCCTGTATCTATGCCTCCTTCTCCTTCTGTGATCAAGCTAGGAACGACATAGTTTTTGCCGAAATCAAGGTTGTGGTCGTCGCGATGGGGACAGATTTGTTGGTGCTCAGTTCGCGAAGACTTGTCGGGGAATCCGAATCCTGGATCGCTCTGCGGGCACTGAAGATTCTGACACGCGTACAGTGGGATAATCTCTGTCGCGATTTCTCGTTCGAATGTGCACTTTCTCTTGTCGTGCGTCAGAGAAGAAGCTTCTTCTTCTTCTTCTTCTTCTTCTTCTAGTTCTGGTCCTGGATCAAGCCGGAGGGCTTTCTGGGCGAGTTTGATGAGGTCTTCTTCTCGGGTAACGATTTTCGACCACGTCGTAGTATCCTTTGCGGACATTTTGTTTTGCAGAGATTTGGATTGTTTGACGAGGCGTTTCATCCTGTCTAAATCTGGGGACATGTGTTTCAAGATTCCGGCTAAAACGCTGATTTTCCAGGCTTTTTTAAGGTCATGGGGCTTTTTGTAGGGTGGGGGGCCGTGTTCTTGAGCCATGCCTTGATCGCCCCACCAGAGCTCTGTTCCGGTGGGCCACCACGGCGGCGCTAGCCCTTTCTCTAACGGGAACTTCCGCTGGGGAGGGAGACAGTGTTGCATTAGGGCGGACATGAGGGAGCCCAGAGTGGTGTCCTGGAGATCTTGGAGAAGGTAGATGAAGCTGGAATTTGGGTCGCCGGAAAAGTTTGTGTCTTCTACTAATCCGACTAGTTTTGGGAGGTATTCGGCTATGGCCGCCGGGGCGTTCTTCTCGAACTTCACTTTCTCCTTCCACCACTCTCTCAGACTTTCCGACGACCCCGTCACCGGCTTCCCCTTCTCCGGCACGATCCCGTACACGAACCCTTGCCCTTTGCACACCTCCATGATCTTCACCATGTACTTGAGAACCGCGTCTTGAGACCTCGCCATCTTCTTCCGCCGCGACGCTTCCACCTGTTTCTCCGACGCCGATTCCTCGTCGCCGTCGTCTCCCAAAATTTCTTTCCCGGCCGCCGCCGCCGCCGCCTCCCGGTCGCCCTTGAACTTCTGCATGCGAAGCCGGTCCTTCCACATCCGCTTCTTCAGATCACGGTAGCTTATCTCCTCCATTTCTCCTTCTTCTTCAAGAGTCGTCTCCATGTCGCTCCCCGGACTCATGGGATCAAGCTCTCCATGAAACCTCACCATCTTCTATAACTTCAAAATCAAAGATCTAAAAAAAAAACAACAGCTAGAACTTTCTGATCGAATTGTTTCCTTATAGCAACAGTCACGATATACGAATTGAAATTAAACGTCCGAACACATATGTTGGATGAACTGAAGAGGCAGTAGTGTGTATATATATATATATATATATATATATATATGCATGGGAATGGCGGTGGGAAATTGAAGAATCATCATTTCAAAGCAATACAAAATAACTATTGCTCCACTGCTTATTTAGGAGTTTATAGCTTATTTATTTATTTTGAGTTATAAGCTCTTTTTAGTAATGTTCTCAAAATAAGCTAGTAGTTTAAAATAAGAGTTTATTTTGCAAAATTATCTGTATGTATAACAACGATCAAATCACATCATCCAAGTAAATTATATTAGAAAAGTTTAGTAAATGAACTGGATTAAAAGAGTATTAGTAAGAATTAAATTCGTGACTGGTGATTTTATAATATGAGAATTATGTTATACTTACACAGTCCAGTGAGAATTCTCGATCTTTCAGATTATATTTATTATATATTTATATATTATATGTAGGTGTAATGTAAGGTGGAATATATAATATATTAAGAGTGGGTTGATGTGTGGGGAAGGGAGGAAATTGTGGAGATGGTTGCGAGTTGTGCTAGCTTACTGCTTACGTGCTTCATTTTGAGGTTGCATGGCATGTCGGACACATACGTTGGACCAGGGCCGTATTTTAAGTTTTGGTGGCCCTGTTCTAGTAAATAAATGTGGCCCTACCAAAATCATAATTTTTAAAACTAATACATGCAAGTTTTGAACCTTTGACCTCCAAGTTAAATTACAATAAATACACATTCTTACCATCTCTTCATAAAACCTTTAAAGTTTAATTGAAAACTTTTTAATTTTTATTTTTAAACTAGCTAGGTAAAAATTAAATATTGAACCTCTAAATTTTGGGGCCCCTCTAAAATTAGGGGCCCTGTGCGGTAGCCCAGCTTGCACAGCCTAAAATCCGGCCCTGCGTTGGACTCTGGATTTCATGTGAGTTTAAGTTGACTGTTTTGGCACAGTAAATGCTAGTTTAGAGAGATGGGAAATTGTAGAAAAAATAAGATATAATATATAAATGGAAACGGAGGCGGTGGATGGGGGTAACCCATTTTTCATCAGCACTGACCAAATTCGATTGAAGCCGACAAACTATTGTCGACATAGGTATACACCTTGCAAGGTCTACAATCTTCATATGTATAATTAATAATTTGTTAGTGTTCATTTTTCATGTTATATACTTATATGCATATTTTATTCCATATATGTTCATGTTGGATTACTCCTAGTAATTAAAACCAACAATATTATAACAAAAAGAGTCTTCGCTTCATATTTACAAACTATTATAAATAAGTAATGTTTATATAATGTATATTATCAAGTAATGTTTCCCTAATGCAAGGTTAAGTTACATAAAATTGCGACTTGTAAAGTAACTAAATAAATTTTTGTTGTACATATATCTCATATGTTATTGAAAAATAACAAATATTGGAGTATAGTACAAATATAGCAAAGTGAGTGGAGCACTAGAGTAGAACGCAACAAGCAAAGCGCATAAAGCCACAATTAAAAGAATCATATGTTAGAGTTACATTGTTTGACACTTAAATTTTGATAAATATTGATTATTTATCAATATAAGTATATTTGAATATATTTATGGATGATATTGATATTATCTAATTTGTTAATTAGATAATATCAAACGAGTTTGAACTTATCAAAACTCTCTATCCTACCGCTATAAATATGGCCTTTTCACTTCTATGTAATCACACATCTTAGGAAAAATCATAGAAAGAACTCTGTATCACAATAAAAATGTGTGTGATCCTGAAAGTAAAAGCCCCTCCTCCTCCATATGTTGATGCATGTTGATCCAAACCTCTATTGAAGATCAAGCCATTTGAACTCGGGAGCCCTTCAAGAAGAACAAGCTATATATATATACAAGCCCTCTTTGAAGATCAAGCCACTTGAATTCCGGAGGCCCTTCAATGGTGGAGTGTTCAAGGCATCCAATTAAAGAATCAGAGGACCATCCGGAGACTTGTACCCACACCGCATTAATACTCAATGTAACTCTAGAATTTTGAATTCAATATATATTTTATTCCATTTTCTTTGTTCACATTACATATAAATATGATGCTTATAACTTGGATGTACTATCATCATAATTATTAATTAATAAAAAAAATACTTCACTCCATTAGACGTGGGTACCCGTAGTGGGCACCCGCACCCGGTGGGGGTGGGTTCTGAAAAAGTCCACCCGATGCGGGTTGGGAGTGGGGGTGGATGGAGAAAATATAAGGTGGGTCGGGTGATGGATGTAGCCCTCCCCCACCCACACCCGACCTATTGCCTAGTAGGTACACTGTCGAATCACGTGTTCTTATTTGATTTTGTCTTTGTTCTTGATTTCTTGATCCCGTTTTACCCAACAAACTTAATTTAATTTGTTGTTTGATGATAGTTTTCTAGACCAATCAATTAAAACCACACACCAAGACTAATCCCGAATTCCCAATAAAAGATAATTGTGTCACCTTATCCACGTCCAATGAATAACTTAATTTGTTTGTTGTGGCAAATTATGTTGTGCATCTATATGCACCATGCAAAAATGACGTCGTTGCAAAATGCGCGTCCTACTTTAAAAAAAAAAAAAAACCTGTTTTGATTCCCAGTAACAACATTGCGTTGTTCATTTTTCAGTTCATTCATTATGAATTTGTAGTTATGAAATTATAGATGTGTAGGTATGCAATTCTGGATTTATAGTTATGAAATTATGGATGTGTAATTATGCATAGTGTAATTATGCAATTTTGAATTTTATAGTTATGAAGTTATAGATGTATAGTTATGCAATTCTGGATGTATAGTTATGAAGTTATAGATGTGTAGTTATGCAATTCTAGATTTATAGTTATGAAATTATGGATGTGTAGTTATGTAATTCTGGATGTATAGTTATGAAATTATGGATGTGTAGTTATGCAATTCTGATTTTTTATTTTTTTAAGTTAGACGTCAAAACGATGTCGTTTTTGCATCCGTATGCACCACGGATGCACAACATAACGATTGTGATTTGTGTCCATTTACAAAAAAAAAAAAAAAAAAAAAAAAAAAAAAAAAAAAAACCATTAGCCTTTATCGAAAAAGATGGAAAAAAAAGAGAGGAGAAAAAATAGTAAAAAGTGGAATTAAAGAAAACACATCACATTTTTTTCTTTATCATCATTTGACAGGAAACTAGGAAAGATATAGGTGCTTTAAGGATTTTTAATTTTTTTTTTACATTAATTAAATTGGATTAAGATTACGATATATATATATATATATATATATATATATATATCATTTCTCTTCTGATCTTTTCTTTTTCTTTTGGCAAAAGCTCCCATGAACCCACCCCTTTTCTGATCTTTCTCTTTTGAGCCTTTGTAGTTTTGTTTTGATTATCTTTCTCTTTTAGCAAATTATGCCTTGATAGGCTTTTCTCTTTTTCTAGTTTGTCAAGAAATTCCACATTTCTAGCACCCAAGAGTAAATATCCCGCAAGGCTGCAAGTGCATTCACAACTCTATTGTGTTATTTAAAAATGTGCATCAATCCAACTTCTCATTGTCTTCCTCAAGAAGATTTTGTAATAATCCACAGTGAAATCATAAACGATCCATGTTCCACGTAAGTTGAAATCCCTTAACAATTCTTCAACCCTTATTAGTTTCTAACACACTATAGCTAGCTATCACCATTACAAGTGAAATCCCTAGCCGTTCACCTAACCCATCATGGGTTAGTCCACAACTTTAGCTTTTCTATTGAGGCTAGGTCTTGACACACTCGTTAGTATTTAACTTAATATATTGTTTGTGGACCTCGTGGTAGCTGTCTGTTGACCTTTTCAACTATAAACAATTTAAATTCGTTTTACCTCATTATTGTAATCATTTACTGGTTATGGTCATAAAGCGATCAAGTTTCACCTTCGAATAGCGACTACAGAATTTTTGATAAATCAAAGTATTTAACTTAATTAGTTCATTGATTCTGAGGTTTATTCTAATGTTTTCTATTATTACATAGAGTTATTGCATGTGTTTTATATTTGTATTAATTGGTTTAGTGCTTAGAGCATCCACACTAGTGGATAATATGGGGATAATGTCATAACAATTATGTTGGGTGGGGTTAATAGAAAATGTGGAGTGGAGTTATTTGAGGAGATATTTGTCCTGCAAAACACAAAATAATGTCAGAAAAAAAAAAAATAACAACACAGATGCTGTGCGCGTTTGCGCACAGCCAAGTGCCACACGGGCGCGTGCACTACACGCGCCCGTGTGGCGCGTCAGGCGCGCTGACAGCGCTGTCAGCGCGCCTGACAAAGGCTTTATTTTAAAAAAAAAAAAAAAATCAGTTTTCTATTATTTTTTTTTCTTTTTTTCTCTCCCCTCCCACATTATCTTTCCTAATCACTCTTACATTATCCCCTCATTCTTCCCAATTGATGTGGATGCTCTTATTGTTGCTGAGTCGTAAAGTGACAATAAAAGATTGTGACAGAAAAAGAAAGAAAAAAGGAGAAATGGTGTGCATATACTCGAATGTTAATTCAGCTGAGCCCTAACAACTTTTAGACAGTCCATAAATTAAAGAAACAGTATAGTACTATATTATGCATAAAGAATATCCCTATAATTTATTGTATATTTGTTAAAAAGATAACAAAGAAAAAAGGAATATCCAGTCAGCAATTTACTCTGCTAATATGATTTTTGAAACATCCACTACAAGATCTGCACCACCTCACATGGCAGGCTGCTCAGCAGATTAGATTCACTGTCACCCCACCTCCTTCATATTCATAACCATATACTAATGTCTCCTTCATCTCAGTTCAAAAGAAGAAAAGTTAAAAAAAATGGTTTTTCTTATTTTTTTTTAACATAATATTTTTTACCATAGGGGTAAATTTCTTGCCCCAATATCCATACGGACTTAGCTCATCGGTTCAGTAGATAGTATTTGGGAGAAAAGATCAAACTTTGACAGTGTTAGTGTGGTTATAGACAGATTTATTGTGCGGACCAACCTTTGGTCATATCTGCTGAGCTATTGAATCACCATAATTTACATAATTCCTGAGTCGGGCCGGGGTGTGATGAGGAGAAAAAAGAAAAATAAATTTGAATTTTTTTTTTATATTATTAATAGTAGTAATTGGGACCATTAAAGAGAGTGTACTAGTGTAGTATGCTCACATTTCAATGCTGTTTCTCAACAGTCTCATTCTTCTCTCTCTCTCTCTCATTTCCATAATTCCATCTTTCTTTCTTTCTTTCTCTGCGGTGGGTTCTAGCTGTGTGTGAAAAGGTTTACTGAAATGCATGGGTTGGATTTGGGAACCCAGACAAGAAAGCCTTTCTTTTTTTGCCAATCTGATTAAGGTTTGCTTTTCTTAAACTTCATTCATTCACCATTTCTTGGACTCCATTGTATGCTTTCTCTGTTTGCTGTGAAGTACTGAAACAAAAAAAAAAAAAAAAAGGTTTCTTTTTTAGCAATCTTTACTTTACTCTAATCTCCTGTTAGGGTTTTAATCTTTTGTTGGGGAGTTTTACTGAAAAATTGTGGTGTGGGGTGCTGAGAATTAGTGGGGAAATGCTGCAGATTTTAGGTTTATGAAGAAATAGAGAGGAATAATGGGGGGAACAAGTTCAAAGGGTGAGAGGAGTGAAGCTTTGAGATTGTGTAAGGAGAGGAAGAGATTCATCAAGAATGCCATAGATTCTAGGTATGCTTTAGCGGCTGCCCATGTTTCCTATGTTCAATCTCTGAGAAACCTAGGATTTGGTCTGAGGAGGTATGCTGAGGCTGAGATGTTGATAGAGTCATCTGTTTCAGCTTCAGTCCCTGACATGGACAAAACCCCCTCACATTCCTCATACCCATCACCCTCACCATCCCACATTGGTGGTGGGGTGTCCGATTCCCCGGTGCCCAACGAGAGCCCGGTGTCGCCCCTCACTACTCGGATGAGTTACATGAGGCTAGGGGGGACTGGTGCTGTTACTGTTCGGATGGCGCCCCCTGTTGTGAATGGGTATGTGGAAGAAGGTGGATTCGTAATGCCACCGCCCCCTCCTCCTCCTCCCGAGTCAGGGTATTCTTGGGATTTCTTTGAGCCCGCTGATGATTCCAAGAGCTTTAGGTTTGTGGCGCATAATGATGGTATGGGAATGAGTGAGGAAAAGGATGACGACGATGTTGGTAATGGGGGTCAAGAAGAATTCATGACGCCCAAATCTGAGCCTAGACATAACGGGCGTAGTAAATCAGATTTGGATAATTCACATTTCACACCCGAGAGGACAGACAATAATTGTCAGGAGGCAATTGAGAACGAAGCTAACGATGATCATCGAAGCCAAGAAATGGGAAGTAAAGATGGTCTACAACCTTCTGGATCAAGGGGAGATAATAAGTCTTTGGTGGAGAAAGATGCGCGTGCACAAAGAGAGGATCCTTCCGAGTTCATAACACATAGGGCTAAAGATTTTCTCTCTAGTATAAAAGACATTGAGCATCGGTTTACAAGAGCATCAGAATCTGGTAAAGAAGTC